ATTTTCCCGATTCCCAGAGTTTGCAATGGGTGTTCTTCTTCCCCTTCCTTTTACTCCTTGTTTTCGATTACCTGGTGAGGCTTTTTGGGAATTTTGGGGATTTTTTTGGAATTTTGGGGAATTCTGTGATTTTTTGGGAATTTTGTCATTTTTTGGGAATTTTGTGGAATTTTTTGGGGAATTTTTGGACAATTTTCCCAATTCCTCAAGGAGTTTAGAATGCGTGTTCTTCACACCCTTCTTTTGAATGGTGTGTATAATATATAATATTTAATATATAATATGTAATATATAATATATAATGTGCAATATATAATATATAATATATTTTTTTTTGAATTTTGGGATTTTTTGGGGAATTTTTGGGCAATTTTCCCAATTCCCCAAAGAGTTTAGAATGGGTGTTCTTCATACCCTTCTATTGAATGGTGTGTATAATATATAATATATAATATATAATATATAATATATAATATATAATACATAGTGTATAATATATAATATGCAATATTTAGCATTTAATATGTAATATATAATATGCCTTATGTAATATATTATACATAATATATATTTTATAGTATATAATATATAGTGTGTATTATATAAAATATAATAAATAGTATGTAATGTATATAATATATAATATGAAATGTTTAGCATGTAATATGTAATACATAATATATATTATATAATATATAATGTATAAGATGCATTATGTAATATATAAATGCATTACATGTAATATATAGCGTGTAATATATAGTATATAATACATAGTATATAATATGTAATATTTAGCATATAATATGTAATATATAATATGCATTATGTGATACCTAATACATAATATGTAATGTTTAGTATATAACATACAGTGTGTAATATATAGTATATAATATATAGTATATAATATTGAGTATATAATATTGAGTCTATAGTATATAATATATAGTACATAATATTTAATATGTAATATTTAGCATGTAATAGGTAATATATAATATGTATTATATAACATATAGAACATAATATGTCACATATGCTATATAATATAGAGTATATAGTATATAATCTGTAACATATGACATATAATTTGTCATATATATATTATATAATTCTTCTGAATATCACACAAACCTCCAGAAACCTTTGCACACCCCCTCGTTCCATTTCTGCCCTAACCCTTAAACCCAGAGATTTCCCTCTGGAGCCGGGGGATTTCCCAGCCCGTTCCCGGCCGGAATTCCGTGTTCCCTGATCCCTTTTTCCCCGTTTTCCCCCCAGTACTCCCTGTGCAGCGAGCCCCTCATCGAGCTCTCCAACTCGGGCGCCAGCGGCTCCCTCTTCTACGTGTCCAGCGACGACGAGTTCATCATCAAAACCGTGCAGCACAAGGAGGCCGAGTTCCTGCAGAAGCTGCTGCCCGGCTACTACATGGTGGGTGAGCGGGAATCTTGGGAATCCTTGGGAATCCTTGGGAATTCTTGGGAATTCTTGGGAATTCTTGGGAATTCTTGGGAATTTTGGGAGTGCTGCCCTCCGGGAGTCAGCCCAGCCCAATCGAAAGCACCTTCGACTCATCCAGGCCGTGGGCAGGGACACCTCCCATGAGCCACGTCCAGCCTGGCCTTGGACACAGCAGTTTAGGCCCAGCTCCATCCTGGTACATCCAGCTCGGCCTAAGGGCCGGATTTAAAAGGTTAAGCTCAGTCTGGCCACGCAGAGTTCAGCTCTCTAAACTCCTCCTAAACCCTCAGATATTTTTGCTGTGATTATATCCCAAAACCACCTTGTTTTCCTTCCTAATTCTGTCCAGTGTCTCTGCAGCCAGGGGGGTTTAGACCCAGCTTGATCCTGATGCATTGAGCTCAGCCTAAATCCTGATAAGCTTGGTCTGACCATGCAGAGTTCAGCACTGTTGGACTTCAGTTGAATTCCTTAAACTCCTCCTAAACCCACCCATGCTGTGATTGTGTCCCAAAACCACATTGTTTTCCTCCCTAATCCTGTCCAGTGCCTCTGCAGCCACGAGACTTTAGACCCAGCTTTATCCTGATGCATTGAGCTCAGCCTAAATCCTGATAAACTCCTCCTAACCCCACAGATATTTATGCTGTGATTATATCCCAAAACCACGTTGTTTTCCTCCCTAATCCTGTCCAGTGTCTCTGCAACCACGAGACTTTAGGCCCAGCTTTATCCTGATACCTTTAGCTCGGCCTAAGGGCCAGATTTAAGATTGAGCCCGAGATCTTTTGCTCTGAAGCCTCAATCTGAGTGAATAAGCACCAAACTCCTTCCTTCCTCCAGCCTTTCCCGTCTCTTCCCCGTCTTCCCCTTCGAACCAGGGTTTCATGGATGGTCTCCACGATTTTTTTTCCCCCGTGTCTTTGGCCCTTCCAGAACCTGAACCAGAACCCCAGGACTCTCCTCCCCAAGTTTTACGGGCTCTACTGCGTCCAGGCGGGCGGGAAGAACATCCGGATCGTGGTGATGAACAACCTCCTGCCCCGCTCGGTGAAGATGCACCTCAAGTACGACCTCAAGGGCTCCACCTACAAGCGCAGGGCCTCCCAAAAGGAGAGGGAGAAGGTTTTCCCCACCTACAAGGACCTGGATTTCATGCAGGACGTCCCCGACGGGCTCTTCCTGGACTCGGACATGTACAACGCCCTGTGCAAGACGCTGCAGAGGGACTGCTTGGTGAGTGGGGAGGGGAGGGAGAGGGGTTTCCTTGGGTTTCAGCCTTTGCCCTGGAAAGGAGGTGGTGGCTCTGCCTTAGGCTTGGGAGAACGGGGAGGTTTTGGGGCGGTGTGGGTGAAAAGCGGGAGCTGCGGCTCCGGTTTTGTGTTTCTGACCTTCCGTGGCTGGAGAGGAGGGGAGGGATCACAGAATCATGGAACCATGGAATTATAGAACCAGAGAATCACAGAATTATAGAATTATAGAATCATAGAATCATAGAATTATAGAACCACAGAATTATAGAATCATAGAATCATAGAATTATGGAATCACAGAATTATAGAATCATGGAACCATAGAATCATGGAATCATGGAACCATAGAATTATAGAATTATAGAATTATAGAATCATGGAATCACAGAATCATAGAATCACAGAATCATAGAATCACAGAATTATAGAATCACAGAATTATAGAATCACAGAATTATAGAATCACAGATTTATAGAATCACAGATTTATAGAATCACAGAATTATAGAATCACAGAATTATAGAATCATGGAACCATAGAATTATAGAATTACAGAACTATAGAATTATAGAATTATAGAACCATAGAATTATAGAACCATAGAATTATAGAACCATAGAATTATAGAATCACAGAATCATGGAACCATAGAATCATAGAATCATAGAATTATGGAATTACAGAATTACAGAATTATAGAATTATAGAGTTATAGAATCATAGAATCATAGAATTATGGAATCATAGAATAATAGATTCACAGAATTATAGAATCATAGAATCACAGAATCATAGAATTATAGAACCATAGAATTATAGAATCACAGAATTATAGAACCATAGAATTATGGAATCATAGAATCATAGAATTATAGAACCATAGAATTATAGAATCACAGAATTATGGAATCATAGAATCATGGAATCACAGAATCATGGAACCATAGAATCACAGAATCACAGAATCACAGAATCACAGAATTATAGAATTATGGAATCACAGAATTATAGAATCATAGAATCATGGAATCATGGAATCACAGAATTATAGAATTATAGAATCATAGAATCACAGAATCATAGAATCACAGATTTATAGAATCAGAGAATCACTGCCTTTCCCCCAAAGGTCCTGCAGAGCTTCAAGATCATGGATTACAGTCTGCTGGTGGCCATCCACAACATGGACCTGGCGCAGCGGGAGCAGGGCCTGGCCGACGGCGCGGCCCCGGCCGACACGCGGCGCCCGGCGGCGCAGAAGGCCCTGTATTCCACAGCCATGGAATCCATCCAGGGAGAGGCCAGGAGAGGGGGAACCATCGAGACTGACGACCAGTA